TATTCGATCAACGTAATTTTTTACATGAATAAATTAATCAACGAGGTTTATATATTAACGATTCAAATTATCTAAATAAGACTCGTGATGGGCCTCACAAGCCCAAGAATACCGTCCACTCCATTTTATGGACCAGAAACAAACTGCCCTCAAATGTGTTTTTGCAGATGATATAACAACAAAAGTGATGCATTTTTAAGTACTGCTTTACAAAGATTTCACATGCAAAATTTTACAATAATTTATAAATTTTATAAAATTTTCATTAGTCACTACAAAAAAATTAAAGTTTTAGAAACTAAAATTTAGGAATAAAATTATTTTTTAGGGACTAAATATTTTTGTTACGAAAAGTGTCGTTATTATATTTTTAACAACGAAAATTGGACATTAGTGATGAATTATTATCTTTTGAGATCAAATGTTTTGTCTAAAAAAATAAATCATTTTGAGACCAAATTATTTTGTTCCTAAAAATATATTTATTAGTGATATTTTCAAAATTTTGTTGCTAAAAGCCTTATTTTTGATTTTTTGGGACGATCTTTTAGCGATTATCCTCACAACGATAGAAGTTAGTCCTTAAATGTATTTTACAACAAAATTTTCACTTTTAAAGACTGAAAAATTTGATCTTTAAAATTCTTATATATTTTAGCGAGTCTAAATATTCAATTATGTAAAAAAGTCTAACAACTTTCCAATAATCAATTTTTTAAAATTTATTTAAGTTATTTTAAGTAAAAATATTAAACATTCTGACATCAGGAATAAACAAATAAATAATTATAAACAGCTCTTAATTTACCTAATTATTGAAAGCATGGCTTATATCATGGCCAATATGAACTTTCTTTGGGGCCTAAGAAAAAAAAAATTGTCATTAGGTAAGGTCAGACCTGTTTCTAGTTTATTTTGTAAATTACAAGGTATTGTAGAGCTTATGGGGTTTATTACGGATTTTGTTTCGATAATTTGAATCTTTCAATGCGTATAGTTTATTGAGTGCTTTATTTCTGTAAAAAAATATGTTGATGGGATATCGATAGTTACTTGATCGTATCAAATTTGTCAACAATTTATTTTAAAAAATTATGTTTACCGTTGACATAAATCTGATCCGATCAAGTAGTTATCGATATCCAATCAACGTAATTTTTTATAGAAATAAAGTATTCGATAAATTCTACACATTAAACAGTTCAGATTATCAAAACAGGACCCGTGATGGGCTCCCATTGGCCCAACAATATACTCCAATCTAATCTCAAACTGGAGAAAAGCCTGACTCATTGGGGTGTTTGGGAAGAAGACTTTTTGACTTTTTTGGTTAAAATAGTACTAAAATACAAAATAGACTAAAATAACCAATAAGACAAAATATCACATCAAACTCATAATCATTTCACTTTTTCTCTCATAAACATCACATCCAATTACAAAAAAAATCTAATCATATTTCCAAACACAAAAATTTTAGCTTATTAAAATAACTAAAAATTAAAATAAGTTACTAAAATAACAACTTTCTAAACACTCCATGTAATTAACGATCTTCAATTTTTCGTCATACCCTATCTTAACCCTACATATGATCAATAATGTATGATGAAAGGTTGATAATTAACCAAATGTCAACGTTATGGTATGGAAATTAGATAAACATGTAGGGAAGACATGACTACCCACTTTGTCCTGGAGCTAGAAGTTTGGCATATGATATTCTCTAAACGGCTTCCATGTCTTTTTGTCTTATACTTGAGAAATTATTTCCTCATAATTTTATTTAAAGATGTTAATATATGTTTCAAATTCATTCTATAAAAAGAATTCAGATTATTATTATTATTATTTTACTTTTGGGTTAACCTCAGCAGCACAAATTCATGTAATTTAGGTCTATTTTGATAATATATTAAAATAGTCTAAATGTCAAAAATTATTATAAAAAAAATAATTATTCTTTTTATTTTTTTATACATTTTTCATAAAAAATAAAAAATATTAAAAATTCTCTGCCCAAAACGACCCTTAGTGTGAATTGTGCGAGCGTTGGGGCATTCTCTCGTGAACACAAAATCATTTTTAATATATATATTTTATGAAATTATCTTAAAATTCAAGATCTAAATACAATTTAAGTAATTTGCTAAGTGTAAAAAGGCATGTAGGGCGCACCATTGATTCTATTTTGATAATTGAAATTGTTTATTTTTTTTATTCTATATATATATATATATATATAATTCATAAAAACAAAATAAAAATTGATCAATAATCATAATAACATGATAATTCATTATATTTATCTTACAAAAATAAACTGTTTATGTTCAAAAGCATATTTTCCATCTATTATTTGAAAGACAAGTACGGTAAGATCATATGATTATAATTATTGAATAAATCTATTTTTAAATTTTTCTTAATAAATAATTTACACATACAAATTAATAAGACAAACGATTTAGAGCCCAACTGTGCAATCCACCTAAATCAACTGCAAACAAGTTCTGAAGTGCAGAGAAAAATCGTAGGTGGACTACAATCCCACTGTGAAGTAGGACCTCAGTTTTGCACATGTGGCTTGGAATTTTGGATTATTGCCATTTGTTCGATTTTGCTCTTCTGGGTGAATAAAATTTTTTTTTTTGTCTGTCTAATTGATTAAGGCAGTGTCATCTATTGTTTTAAATTGAGACCATTGCATTGTTTTTACTAATTAGATAAGGGAATTTTGTACTCCCCAGTGAAATAGGTGAGCAAAAATATATTTCCAAACAAAGGGTTCATATGATTAAGCTTTTCTTTCACTTGGGAGGGTGTTATTGGTCTTTATAGGTTTTGTCACTGGATTTATTCCGATAATTCAAACTGTTCATTTTGTAAAACTCTCTGAACAGATAAAAATATCAAGTTGATTGGATAACTATAGTCACATATCTGTAGCAAATTAGTCTTGAAAAACATGTGTGACAAATATGATTTTTAGACTAAATTGTTCATTTTTGGAATACAAATGTGAACCGATTATGTGAGTATAGTTGTCTAATCAACTTAAACATTTTTTATGAATAATTTGTGATAAATGACTCACAAAATCAAGTAATAACCTCAAGATAAGTGTCAAACTGAAAAGATTTTAACTCTTTCTTAGAATACAAGAAACGCAATCAACGAACCGTCTATTATATTAGAATAAAATTATAATGTCATATTGTTTTACAACCCAATGTTGGCTGTGACATACAAATCTAAGGTTTCCAAATTGGACCTGGTCTTAACAGAAAATATCTAATAGAAATGCAAGTGTCCATATCTACTATTCTTGGTCCTTTATTACCCACCATGCAGATACCACGCTTGAAGAACCTTCGTTAGGACCTGTTTGGCTTATCACAGGGCCTTTTTTATATGGAAAATTTTACACTATGCCAATTTTTTTTTTTACAAATTGATGACACGGCATAAGAAAAACATGTCACATATCTTCTCGTAATCAAAAAATAATGCATTTAATAATTGATAAATCCATTTATATATAAAAAAATTTATATAATATTATTCTTTTTATATATCTTGTTATGTTAACAGACACCATATCTATAAGTTGGGTGCTGTTACTTTAGTTTGATTGTCGTTTGCACTCCACTTGGGATGAAATTCAATAATTTTTATATCAGTTTGAAAAAAGAAAAAGAAAAAAGTGAGTTTAAGCCCACAATACTCCGTATTTTGAATTGAATACACAAACAAAATTATTTTATTTATGAATATATTGGTATCATTTAATTCTAGTGTAGGTTCTATTTCTTCAGAAACTTTATTATTATAGGCCACATCAACTTATAAAAGAAGTTTTTTTTGTATAACATTTTTGTGATATTTATCAAATACTCATAATAATATTATTATGTTTTGGAAATTGATCAATTGGCGTAATGTGAGATCTACGCATATAATGAATCTCAACAATATTACTGAATATTAATTATGTAAAGATAAATTGGATCACTTGTGTTGTAACCATGCAATATTGCTAGATCTTTCTTCAACAATATTCTCTATAGAGAGATTACTATTTGATCGAAAATACTGGGCTTTACACTACCAACTCACCAACTGACCCGACTTGCATATATATATTTATATATTCACAAACAAACCCCTAAAAAGAGAATTTTTGTCATCAAAATGGTTAGTGTCATCTCTCAATGCAAATCATTCATAATATTTTTCATTACATCGTTTATAATATAATCACAATAATTCATAATTTTCATTTTGTGGACTTACACCATAAATTCGTCATTCATAATTTTTATCGCAACATAATGTAAGACAGGCTATAAATATGCGTAACTTCGGTTACAAAAATTCACGACTTGTGTATAATAAAAGGTGTATTTATTAGCATTTTCCATCCATCGTAACATATATATTTCAGCCAACTAGTTCATCTCCTTAAATTGGACCCAATTCCATAATCGACTTTGTAAGAATAAAAGCAACGTAGCCCAAGTCCCACAAGTTCCATGTGTTACTCTTTGACTGAAATACCCTTATTTTATTAAACGTAAAATGCACATAAAAAGGATAAATGACACATCAAGCAGTTATTTTCTTTAATCTATAAAATTGTAGCTTCATTTTTCATAAAATTTATATTTTTGGAACTTATTTGAGAAGATCTATCAGATAAAATTCATATTCCATATAAATTTTTTAAGAGAACAAAAAATGAGTAATTTTGAAATTGAGAAAATTTGTGCAAAAAATTATGAAATTTCTCATTTTCTCTATAAAAATTATGAAATTTTGCAATTTCTTACACATAGAAACTGAGATATTTTGACAAAATTTTAAAAAGTGATAAACTTTGCAATTTTCATAAATTACAATTTATGCATAAAAACTATGAAATTTCACAGTTTTTGCCCTATAACTATGACATTTCGCATTTACTCAAATTAAAAACTACAAATAGAAAAACCAAAGAATGCAGAAAAAGCGAGCTATTAGGTTACAACACTCAAATACATATTTTTTATTTACATAATTCTGAAGTTAAGATAAGTAATTGTTCACATAACAGTTAAATTCTATATCATACTAGAAAAATATACATGTCCGTCCATGTATCTTTATATAGACATCAAAACTGCATAGAAACTTGGAAGTAATTATATCATTTTCATGCCTTGAAATTTATCCATTGATGTGACTAATCATCCATGGTGGCATTACTGCATTGTTTTGAATTTGATGCGGAGCTCCTTCTACATCTCCAACAGCTGCCTGGTAAGCACCACTGCATTGGATAATGTTGACACACCTTAGTATTCCTATGCATTTATATAAACAGAAAAAGAATATAGAATTTGTACACAAAATGATATCGGATTTTGTCATTTAAAAAAAAAAAAAAATACTCATTTTAATGACATTTAATTATAAAGATATTACTGTCACATCATTTTAGTAATAAACTTGGTATAAAAATTCTGTATGATTAACATTTTCATTATTCAAAAATATTTGGTGGGACCCACATATTTTTTTAGATATTTCCTAGGCTATCATTTGTTTCAGCCATACGATGGGGATTGGTAGTCAGATGGTATTGCTAATTCTACAAAATGGTTGATATTGGTAAATTCTTTTTTTGACCATGTTGATATTGGTAATTCCGTGCCATGGGATTAGCAACATCACTCGTATGCTATATATCACATTATAATCATATTATAATAATCAAACATAGTACAAATGCTATATCATATTATAATCCAACATGGTACAAATGCTCTCATGACATATACATCATCTCATTCAATATCTTAAGTATTACTAAACCTATCCATAATTCTATATTATTACCAATCCCCATATATATTCCCACAAAAATTATATCAGCGAATCAAACACACCCTAGGTTACAATTTTTTTAAAGAAAATTTTATAATGTTTCTATCTTTTCAGTCTCTAATATCATGTTATGATCTTATATTTATGGAATAAAAAAAATTTTTTAAAAAAAAAAGGAAAAGAGAGAGAAAAAAGAAAAGAAAAAAGAAGCTTCTAATTCTTTTTCTTTTTTCTTTTCGTTCCACATATCGAACATCCAAACACAACCATAATTGAATAATATACACAAAGGAGAGATTGAGAGAGAGCTAACCCAATGTTCAAGGAGTGCAATGACTGTGAGATAACAACAGAGGATGAATTCAGATCATGGTTTTGGTGCTGCTCCAGTTGAGCCTGCTGTTCCTTCTCCTTCTTCTCCTTTTCCTTAATCTACATTTGACATATTCTTCAAATATTAAATATATATATATATATATATATTATATGAAACATAGGATAAATTATAAATATAACCCTTGTGATTTTGAAAATTACATTTCACTCCCTGAGATTTTTGCTTTTATAACAAATGATCCATTTTATTAATAAATCATCAATATAATTAATAATTTTTAATGATGTCAAAAATATATTTCAATTAATAATTCATGTAATTTTATTATTGTATAAAAAGACAGTTACAAATTTTATTTTTTCAATTAATTCTGTTAAATAAAAAAATTTAACAAAAAAATATTTATAATATTTAAATCACAAGAGATTTATTTATAATTTATAATAATATTTTTTAAAATAAAGATCACCTGCTTTGTAAGCAAGTTGTTTTGCTCCTGCAATGCCTTATCCTGTCACATTATAACATATTAAAAACGGAAATACTATGATGGATATTTTTAAAGGGGTGCACTATATATATGTATCTTATAATTAAAGAAAATGATATAATTTTAATTTTTTGAGTCATAATTAAAAAAAAAATGTCATAATTAAATATAACATGAGACATAATTAAAAGTTGGGAAAAAAGAAAGAGTCATAACTAAAATAATGTCATAACTAAAGAAGAAAATTGATTATAACTAAAGTAAAAAAAATGATATAAATAGAGATGCACATGTATATATCGGATTTTTCCATTAAAAAAAGAAATAAAAATAACATAATGGTTTGATTCCCAAAGTTCATATTTTCAAAGTATAAGTGCAACTGCTTAAGCATTAAGAGTAATGCTAGGGGTATCAAATTTTATATTAAATAAATGATCAAATATCTTATAATTTTGTAGACTCCACACTCATGTAAGATATTTAGTCATTTATTTGATAGAAAATTTGGAACCTATAACATTTTCCAACCATTAAATGTCAAAAAAAAGTAAAGCTGCAAACAAGTTTTGCCAAATGAAAGGACACTTCACGGATGAGAAAATCACTGATTAAAGATTAACGAAGCATACACTTCATAATTATTTAACACCATACCTTTTTTTGAAGCTCAGAGATGGATTCGTACATTAGTTGGTTCTGTAAGTAAAACATAGTGAAACTGTGAGTTTTATTTGCATAAAACAAAATGGATGACAAGATAAACTGATTAGAGTTCTTCGTATTTAATAAATAAATCCATAAAACAAACTAAAAATCACTTGGACTTAAGAATCAAATCATTTCACCTTTCTTGTCCTTATATGTTTAAGAGCAGAGTCGAGCTGGTGCTCCAAATTCTGAAGCTCTTTAAGATTCAAGGTATCGAGGTCTTCTCCCATCAAATGCCTGCAAACATTAAGAAGTACGCTTTATATCAGCTTAATAGCAACTTTTAAACTATACTAATCAATATAGAATAGAAAAAGTATATGGAAATAATGGGAGACTGAGACCTTTGATTTTTTTGTAGAACCTCCAACCTAGCCTTGAGCTTAGCATTTTCCAGAGTCCAGCTTCCCTAGACAAATTTTATGATACATTAGTTGATGAATATCTCAATTGCTCAATTAACAAGGAATAGTTTAAAACAAAACAAAACAAACATCCATTTCTTTTTCATCGGCCAAAAAAGGGAAATTTTATTAACTTGGAAATTTATACCTGTGATTCAGTATCAGTGGCAATAAGCTGCCTTTCTGCATGCGAGTACCTCTCATATCGCTCAAGAATCCTTTCCATGCTGTTAAAGAAGAAGAAAAAAAAAATTAAATAAATAAACCAAGGATAAAAAAAACACATGAGCACATGCATAGGCACAAACCAAATAAAAAACACACAGAATTACGCGGTTCATGGATAACAAAGAGATCAATCCAGTATTACATTGCAAAGAAATTACTAAAACAAGAAATAAAAAACGATAATACCAAAGTATGCTCTCGGCTTTCCTAGTAAAAAACCAAACCAAACCAAACCAAACCAGACCAAGTCTTAAATCGCATCGGCTACATGAATTCTTCTTTTTTACTTGACTTTATCAACGGCCATTTTGCTAGTCAAATTAAGGAGATTCATATCTCTATTCATTACACTAATCGACGTCAATTTAGGTTTGCTCTTTCCCCTAACACTTCCATTTATCGTTGCTGTATCACATCTCTTCACTACTACCTCTGTTGGCCTCTATTGTATATAACCAAACCATGCCAATCTATTCTCTCTAAACTTATCTTCTATCAGTGTTACTCTTACCCATTCATGAATATTCTCATTCCTAATTTTGTCTTTCTTACTATTCATCCACCTTAGTATTCTTATTTCAGCAATACTTATCTTATCTATATGTTATTTTTAAGTAAAAAATGTCCAAAAAAGCTAAAGTGTAAAATTTGACAAGAAATTTAAAAATATGATTTTACCAAGTTTCAGCCATTAAAAAAATTGTAAAAAAAATATAAAAAAATTTAAATAAAAAAAAAATTCAACTATTTTCACATTTGACTGAGTCTTTTTTTAAAGTAAAAAACTGATTTTTTCGTAAAACCTGAGATATTTTCTATATTGAATGTAAATCTCTTAAATAAAGGAATCCCCAAAATATGATTGAGTGAATGTTATTTCAAAATGAAATATGATTAAATATATGATTATACTTATCAGATTATTAATTTAAATTGTTCATTAATAATTAACTTATTTGGTGTAATTTATCATAAATAAGAAGTTAAAAATTAGAAATCAAAAGTCAAAAGTATTATTCCTCTAACTCAAGTACATGTGTCTAAAAATCGGATTAATCAAACTTTAAATTTAGGAGTATGCGGATTCAAAAAAATGTCAAATTTTTATATTTTAATCTATTATGTGAGATGAAATAGTATTACATGCAACATACAATATCAAAAAGATATTTATAGCAATTATACAATAATATGTACATATAATAATAGTATTAAATACAAATATATGAAAAGTATTTGATACATATTCCACCCTTGTCCAAGTATCAGGTGTTTGACACGGATGTTTGATGAATATTTGATTTATCTATATAAGATAGGCTATAAATAAAAATTATACCAAACAATCTGATATAAACACTCCAAAATAATAAAAACTATAAGCAACTCAAGATAAGTCATAACAAATAGTCCCAATCTACACAAATATAACTAAAAATGATCCAATGGGATCATCAAAACCAACAACTTGGCACTGACAAAATGCTTACTACTATTCTGTTTTTCGAATGGAAATATCTTAAATAAAGGAAGCAACACAAATATCACAACCCAAAACAAAGCTGTTACTATCAAGAATACTTTATCTTAAAACCACAGCGACTTCTTGACTAGATCACATTAAAGATCAACTTTAAAGTTTTTTTATTAGTTATGGAGATTTTGAAATGAGGGTAATAAAATATAAGTTATTCTTCACCAAGCAATTGCTATAACTTATTACAATGGAGACGTGCCAAGCTTTCCATGCCATGCCCGGACTGTCCGGTTTCAGGTATCTTATTCAATCATCAATCTTGGAAATCCTTCTCCTTTATCACTTACCAGTTTTGTCAAAAAAACAGATTTTAAGATAGTTTATATTCTACCTATAAATGAAAGCTTTTAAGATTTTATTTGGATGAGGGAGTTTAAATATTTGATCCAAACACCGTCTTAATAGCATTATCACATAAATTGGAAACATGATTGTGTGAATAATATATTTTTAGTCCTAAACAATATAAATATGATAAATTATGAAAAGTTGTCTCAAAATTTACTTCGAAATAAATTTTATGTTTATTTAAAATTGGTGGAATACGAGTCACATAGGGGATGATTGTGATTCATAAATGTATTTTTGTGGATATATTTTTTAGTACTTTTTTTTGGAGTGGTGTTACATACATTAATTAGTGCACTAACTAATATACTAACATTAATTATGACATTATTATTAATCTCATTCGTTATACAAATTACAAATATTAAAAATATCTTAAATTATGCCACATTATCAATTGGTATACTAGTGTGTGCACTAATTGGTACATATAGTATTAGTCTTTTTTTTTTTTTTTTTTCTAGATTTGTAATATTATTGCCGGATCAAATATGATAATATCATCTTATAATATCACCGATGTTCTTGAAAATCTTTCTCCTTTATCAGTTAGTGGTTTCGCCAAAAAAAAGAAAGAAAGTAAAGATTTCAAGACAAGTTATATTCTACATATAAATGAAAGCTTTTAAGACTTTATTATTTGTATTAAGGATTTATGGAGCGAACTCAAATTTTTGCTCCAAACACAACCTTAATAGAATTATCACATAAATTCATAACACCTGATCATGTGAAGTGGTTAATATAATATTATTTGTTTATAATAAATATAAGTGCAATGATAATATCGAGCAAGGATTCTCTCTTTGCCTCTCTTTGAATCCTCTCCTTCACTTCTTACTTGATGGGTTATTAGGCTCACTTTTGGATCTAATTTTGATAATCCGAACCGTTCACATTTTAGGATTTGTCATATATATCATACCTGTAAAAAAATCAAGTCGATCGGATATCAAAAATCACGTGAACTAAAAGTTTTATTAAACAATAAAACTATTTATTAAATTTTTTTTAATAAACGGTTTTTAGTTATTCCGATATTCGATCAATTTGATTTTTTTACAAGTATGATGTACCTGACAAATTCTAAAATTTGAATGATTTGAATCATCGAAATTAAACCTAAAAATAGACTCAATAAGCCATCAAGTAAGAAATGAAGAAGAGGATTTAAGGAAAGGATTCTGATAATATCCATCATTAATAAAATGCCACAAATCAAAATGAGTCTGACTCCTTTGCTCTAAGGGACTGATTGATGTAACTTATCTAAACTGCTTATAATTTATTTTATTTTATTTTATTTTAAGAGTTTTTACTAGGCTGCTTAGTGTAATTTCTGTTCATACTTCATTAGATAGAAATAATTTAAATAAGTTGAAAAAAAAAAAGAAGAAGTTAATTTCTAAAAATTGGATGAGAAGTATTTTTGGCTTCTATTTTTTGATTATTAACTTTTAATTTACAATAAGTTGTATCAAACAATACCTACGGCTTCTTTTGAGAGGAAGCTAAAAAAGTAAATTTACCCATAAAGACATATCTACAAAATTTGTTTGATACATTCCTAACTCTTTTTTTTTTTTATAATTTTTTCTAGTAATTTCAGCGTGAGTGTAATGAATTTTTTGGTGAAAAATAAATTTGCCAAATAACATAAAGCTTTTCAAATAAAATGAGTTTTTTTTTTTAACCAACAAGTTAACTTTTAAGCCCCAATCAAATGAAGCCTAATTTCTGAAGTAAGCAGTAAGTTAATGTTTTATTGATCAATATCATTTCATTAATTGTTGACGTCGGTAAGTTGAAAGATTTAGAACAAGAAAGGATGTACAAGTTTATATACACTTACATTGAAGTATCATATAAGCAGTTATGTAAACAAATCATCAATTCACTTTATAAAATAATGCACAACTTAACTGGTAGAGTATTAGAATTCAAATAAATTTAACTATTAATTTTCTAAAATCACTATACAAAATATCTGATTAATTAATAATATAACAATTTTACATAAATATCTACTTGGCTAGCCAACTACAATAGGGCAAGCATTCATGCTTTTTTGTCAACAAGGTGAAATGAAGTTAAAATTGTTGTTTTTCTTTATAATAAATTTCCAGCCTTTTATCTCTTCTCTCTTCAGTCTCTCTTTTATATTCTCTGCCCTCTACTTTCTTTCTGACTCTTGGCCTTAGCCACTTGAGTGTACCCTTGCTTCTTGCTCTCTCCTCTCTTTATTAACTTCTATTGAAATTAGCCCACAAATCTCTTGGATAAAAGATATCATGAGTCATGCTTTGAAATCAATGAATTGTGCCTTTATTCTAGTGAGATTTTCCTAAAATTGGAAAGAAAATTGAGTATTCTTGAAGACTTGTGTGGTTATTCATCAATAGAAATATATATATATAAGATAAAACAAACCCTCAAGATAGTATCCACTTCTTTCCTTCAAAGAAAAATTGAGTATTCTTGATGATTTGTATTTCTTTTGTGGTTATTCATGAAAAAGAAATATATATATATATATATATATAAAGCTCAAACCCTCAAAACAGTATTTACTTCTCTTCTCTCCCTCAAATAAAATTCAAAATTAAATCTAAATTAATTCAAAAAATTATTATGATCCCAGATATTCATGACCATAAATCTAAAGGGAAATTTTTTTTAATTAATTAATTAATTTTATTTTATTTTACTTTACTTTATAGAGAAGGGGGAGGAGGGGGTTGGGGATGAGAGCAGTAGAGAGAGAAAAGTAAACTAATTAATGGATTTTTATAAAAAAACAATATTTTCAATTTTCTTTACAATCCCACTCCAGATTTCATTATAGACCACTTGGGTATTTCTATACACAAATAAATGAACTCAAAGCATATTTCAAAACACAATACACTATATATATTGATGTCTTTATTTTTATTTTTTTACACTAATATATGTGTGTGTGTAAATGGTACTATATATATATTTTTTTCTTGGGGAGTAAATGGTTGTGTATGAATATTAGCTTTTGCATGAAATGAAATATCACATAACCCAAAAAAAAACTGGTCTCACATCACATGGAAAGAAACAAAACAATTATTTGGTATCAAGTAGTAATCAAATCAAATTAGGGGAAAGAAAACAATGATTGTATCAATTTTAAGGTTAAAATATAAGAATATTCACCAATGAAAAAAAAAAACCCTAGAAACTTTGGTTTCAACGATTTCAACAAACAAAATCAAGATAGAAAATGAGAGATCTAACAACAATTCTTGATTATCTTGAAATTTTATTTTGGGAATCAAAAAGAAGAAAAAAAGGGGGGGGGGGTGGAGAGGGGGGGGGTTTCTAACCAGGAATCCGTGGAGTATTCGAAGAGCTTTCCTTTGGTGGAGAAGATGATGAGAGCGATCTCAGCATCGCAGAGGATTGAGATCTCGTGAGCTTTTTTGAGAAGTCCAGAACGGCGTTTTGAGAAAGTAACTTGTCTGTTGATCTTGTTCTCGATCCTCTTCAGCTGGACTCTTCCTCTCCCCATTTTCTCTCTTGTTTTCTTGGTCTCCAAACACTATGGGGACTTTATTTAACCCCAAGTCAATCACAAAAATGCAAGGAGAGAGAGAGAGCGAGACGGTGGTAGTAGTGGTGTGGTGGTGGTGATAGTGACGGTGGTTATGTCTCTTTCTCTCTTTCTATCTATCTATCTATCAATAGGGTTATCTTTCTTGCTAACAATTTGGTAGGAGGCAATTGAGCCATGTTTCATCACCATGTATTTACTACGTTATAGTTTGTGTGAGCTGTATAATAAATAAATAAATAAATTAAATAATTAATAAAAAATAATTATAGAATCAGACACAATATCGATGGCAATCCAACATTCTTATGTCACTTTTTTTTATGTGTTTATGAGAGGGAATTGTATTTCATTTCATGATTAAATTGTATGGAAGTGGAAAAATTATATATATTTGGGTTAGTTTGTTTTCGGAAGTAGAATATAGGGGATTTATAGTGAGAAGATTGTTAGTGAAAGAGTTAAGTAATATTATATTTGTTTTGATGATAGTTGTTAGTGTAGGGATTGTTAAATTATTTTTATATAAAATGACAAAATAAATAAAAAATAAAAAAACATTAAATAGTAATGTTAAAAAAAAATGTCCAACATGTAAAAAATAAAAAAAATAAAAAAATAAAATTATGATTTTTACATAAAAAAATTACAAAAAATTAAATATTAATGTTCAAAAAAAATGCCCAATATGTAAAAAATAAAAATAAATAAATAAATAGTTTAACAGACTATTTTCTAATATCAAGTCTCAAGCCTCTTACAAAATATATTTTCAACATAATTTTTTTAAATAATTAATAAAAAATCTGAAATTAATTTTTTTTAAATAAAAATCTAAAAACGTATTTTGTAAATATGTTTTCATAATAATTTTTGAAAACATATTTTATTTAAATAATTAATAAAAAAAACTAAAATTATAACATTTTTTTGAAAAATAACATAAAATTTGAAAACGTATTTGTAAATATGTTTTCATCATAATTTTTTTTAAAAAAAAAATAATTAATACAAAGTCTATTGAAACTGAAAACGTATTTTATATTTTTTCAAGTAATTAATAGAAAAAATTGAAAACATCATATTTTTTTTTAAAAATAAATAAAAAAATAATTTAGGAGACTATTTTCTAATATCAAGTCTCAAGCCTCCTTCCTAATCCTCTCCTCTAAAAAATAAAAAAAATAAAAAAATAAAATTATGATTTTTACATAAAAAAAATTACAAAAAATTAAATATTAATGTTCAAAAAAAATGCCCAATATGTAAAAAATAAAAATAAATAAAAAAATAATTTAGCAGACTATTTTCTAATATCAAGTCTCAAGCCTCCTTCCTAATCCTCTCCTCAAGGCCCATCCTAATCCAGATAAAGATTATGAATCCCTTTTCCATCTCTCAAAACAAATACAATATTAGTAAGTCTTACTTCTATTTTAATCCCAATTCTCTCTCTATCTCCCACAACAAATGAAACCTTAATAGTGAGTTACACATGTTAAGAGTTTGTAATTATACATTTAAAATTTTTAACATTTTATTTTTTAGATAGCTTGATGAATAAAAAAGTAATTTGACAGTTGAACGTGAATGGCATTCTTACAAAAAAAAGAAAAAAAAAAGAATTATGATATATAAGTATATATTTTAAATTTACTTTTTTATATTCAATGATATATAAGTGAGATGATTAGTTAATAATTAGAAAATACATAAGTGAGAAAAATAGCACATAAAAGTGATTCGTTTATTGATCATTTAACTTAAAAAGTGGGTCAAATTTTTAGATTTAAATAACATTACTAAAAGAAAATCACTAAAATAGTTCATCAAAAACTCTTCACTTCCTATCTGGTTAATGCAAATCCTATTCATACACAACTTTTGTGGTATATAAGAGCATCTTCACTCTTTTATCAAATTTAAGATGATGTTTTCATCAGATGTTTATCAAATTGAAGGAGGATCATTTTTTTTTTTTATGAAATTTGAATTTGATAGAAATTTATAAAAAAAACAAAAATAAAGAGTTGTAGATGCTTTTTTTCTCATCAAATTTGATGAAAAGTAAAATTTGAGATAAAAAAAATTAAAAATATTTTGATAAAAAGATTGGAGCAGTTTATATCAAATTAAAATTTTTTATTCAAAAATTTAAAAGTATTTTGATGAGAATATTGAAAAAATAAGAATGACGAAGAAATTATATTATTTAAAATAAATAATAAAAGAAATGACAATTTTAACACAAAATGGAGTGTAGCATTAATATAATAGAATTATACAAACAAATAAAGTAAGTAATAATATATTATCTAGGCAGGTTGAAAACCGGGGTGGAAATTCAGATGTGGGCACGAGCAGTATTAGAAAAACCGGAGTAGTTTCATAAAATAACGCTGTCGAATTGTGATTGGACTGTGTCACTATTCAGTGGTTAATGTCGCGTGGGTGAAGGGACCCACCTAATCGGGGTCCACACCGTACGCTCCCTGTGTCTCGCGGCGGTGGGTGCTTGATATTTTTTTTGCTTTCTTCGGACATTTCCTATGTTATCTATTCTCTTTCTCTCTACACCAATTTCCATCCCATTACGTACCCTACCTCCCTGTGAGGGTTTTTTTTTTCTCTCCCCGCAATAGGTTCTTTGACTGGATCAATCTTTTAAGTAAATGAATTTTTTTACCCTGCTTGGTAAAATGTTATCGGATTAATAAGTTATGTTTTGTTTGTTTGGACAAAAAAATATTATTTATAAAAAAAAATTAATATTTTTTTTAAAAATAATTTTTTATATTTAGTGGTAGTGGTGGTCGTCAAACCACGTCAGAGGTAAGAGGGATTTGGGGTGGTTGATGTGCAGAGGTGCACAGTAGTCACTGTTGTACAGTTAAATAAGTCTATTTTGAGATTCATTTCGATAATTCGAATCGCTCACATTTTATAATATATCAAGTAGCACATACCTGCAAAAAAACAAGTTAATTAGATATTATTTACCCTTTCATCCATTTACATTTGTATTTATTTTAATATTTAAATCACAATATTATTTATTTTTGTAGATACAAATGTGAGTGGATGAATGGGTAAACGATATTCGATTAACTTAATTTTTTGCAAGTATATTTTACTTGATGTATTCTAAAATGTGAACGGTTCGAATTATCGAAATAGACTCCAAAATATGCTCATTTAACTACACAACAGTGGCTTTGCACAGCAGCCACCCTAAATCCTCCACTGGTGGCAATTACAGTGCGGTGATAATATAGTGACATTGATAAGATTTTAGTTCGGACAATATTTTCATGGAAAATTTACCCATAAGTCCTAGTTTCTGAAAAGTTGAACCATTAGTCCTAAAAGTTTTCTTATGCTCCATTTAGTCCCATTTGCACATCAATCTAATGTTCGAAATATTAATCTGATGTTTAGAATCTAATGTTCGAAACATTAATCTGATGTTCGAAATCCAATGTTCGAAACATTAATCTGATGTTTGAAACATTGTAATGAGACCTTTCAGTCTATAAGAAAACTTTTAGGACTAAACAGTGTATAAGTTATTAATTTGGGATTTATTGGTGCATCCCCCTATTTTCTTCTTTGTAAAAGAATAATACATTTTCTGTATATATAAACTTATTTTTTATTAATTATGAAAAATATTTTTCATTAATTTTTATTTTTTATTGTATCAAATATCAAAAAATATTTTCTGACAAAACAAACAGAGAGTTAAATTAGTACAATTACATATTCGACATTAATACATAAAACTAGAATTGATGATATGCAAAATATAAATAAGAAAAAAACAATAAATGAATGAACACAAAAATTTACGTAACTACCATCTAAAAAATAAAAAGATTTACGTAGTTTATTAATTAAAAAAAATGTTTGAAAGTTTTAATTGAACACTTCCAATGATGTAGAATGAATCATGTGAAAAAATAATATTAGAGATCCACACATTTGACTTACAAATATACTGATAATGATGTGTCAAGAGAATTGAGTCCTCGACGATTGAATGTGTAACAAATTAAAAGTTGACTCATATTCTAATATATCATTATAGATAAAATTGTGAAATTTTTTTGAAGATTCAAATATATTCCCATGTAAAAATAAAAATAATATATTATGAAATGTAATATCACTCATTTAATTGGTGTGTTTTTCATTAAGATATAGGATAATCGTCCGGGGATTGTTTGGTATGATCTAAATAAGTGCACTTTTTAACTTTTTATAAAATATGGGTTGAGTTTGAATTGATGTGTTAGAGAGGTGATATGACTTAAATAAAATAATATGAATTAAATAAAATAGTGACTTTATAATTTTTTTTTTTTTTTCAAATATGTCAATTCAGTGCTAAATTAATTATAAATACATGAAAATTATGACAATACATTTACGCTCTCTGTTTCGCGGCGGTGGGTGCTCTGATATTTTGTCTGCTTTCTTCGGGCTTCTACTATGTTCTATTCCTTTCTCTCTACACCAATTTCCAAACCCATTCCATACCTTGCCTCTCTGTTATAGGTTTTTTTTTTTTTTTTTTAACAATTATTATTATTATTATTTTTGTTTCTCTGCAATAGGTTCTTTGACTGGATCAATTTTTAAGTGAACGATTTTTTTTTCCCACTACATAAAATGTTAGATATTTCTTTTGTAAACTTGAATTTCAAATGGTTAGGTGTCGTTTGGTAACATTAAATTTAAAAAATTCAAATAAAAATTTATTTGGTAAAATTTTTAATTTATAAATCAGTGGTCTCAGTTTATAAATTTGGCTAAAAAATGAAAACACAAAAAATATGTTTTCATTTTGAATTTTTAGTTTTTTTTTTTTACCACCCAACACTAGCCACCACCTGCCATCATTTTCCACCACTGTCTTCCGCCGCCACCACTCGTCTCTACCCACCACTCGCCACCACTTCTCATTTCTCACTTTCTTTTTATATTTTTAAATTTTTTAAAACATTTTGTCTAAACCAAACGCGTTTGTAGTTTATGTTTTTCTAAAAATAAACAAAAATCAGTTTATAAAACTTTTATAAATATAAACTGAAAACGTAAACGTTACCGAGCAGGCCCAATGCCTCAATCAATGAAATTAATTATGATCCAACTTCCAAGGTCTATTAAAGGATCTCTTCTATTATTATTAGGGCAAATTGCA